AGTTCTAGCTTTGCGATCATGGAGCTATGTGTCCACACCACTGTAGACTGAACAGTGTCTCTCACAAATCTCTTTATTTTTACCACCAGTATCTCTGTGCCTCTGATAGCCTTTAAGATATAATATCTAAGTCTGCCTCAGATTGAAATGGTAACTGTTGATACAGTGAAATATAATCTTAGAATACTCTTCCCCCAGTACATTAACAAAATCCCTAAATGATAAAAGCACGCCTCTGTAAGAAGGTCCTTCCAGCATAGATTTGACTGCAAGACAAAATATCCAATCACACTTCTCTAGTACTATTTGTTTTTATGAAGGTGATGTACCAAATGCTAAATACATAAAGTCGGCATAAATGATTATTACAAAATCAATCAAACGAAACTAGTTTGGAATTTTAAGTGTATAATTTTCTTCAATAAACAAGTTATCTTGATAGTGGGAAAAATTAGGTGCTCAAAATTTATCTCCTAAATTAATTATTTTTATTACTTCAATTGTACAATAGTAGTATTTCTCTTGAGTCAAGAACAACAAAAAACATGAAGTCTGCAACTTGGTCCCTATTTACTGAAATGCTTGATGTAACACTAATACCTTATGATCCAAGGCTGCTCAGAAGGATAAGAAGTCATTTTACTTATCTGTCACGATTGAACTTCTCATACTACCATCTTCCTCAGGCATGTAGACAAATGCTGCTTCCACCACACTTGATAACTTTATAAAATTTTTTCTTTATTAGAGTTTGATAAAGATATCTGCTCTGCATATAAGTCAGGCATAAGTCTGTCTTTCAATCTCAACTATCTGAGTTCTTTGTTGGTAAACATCAACTTCCACAGTACAACTACAAATCAGGACAAACAAACTCACGGTGAATGAAATTTGTAGGCTCTTTGATTTGATGATGCAGAAGCAAGGAAAGCTTATTTAGCAGGTGCAGCCTTCAAGTTTTGGAACAAGAATAGTCACCAATCTGGAAAACAAAGTTCCAACAAGACACTGACAGCTACCTTTCTTTCTCTTTAGAGGTCCTACACCTTCATCAAAAGAGAGCACATGTTATAAGGTACAAACGATGGGAAGAAATTCTTAGCTATCTAGCCAAAATGAGCATACAGGGAAAAAAAATGAATAAATTGATGCAGTGCTTTGGCTAGAAATACTATCAGTGATTCACAGACACTGTTGTTCATTAGCTGGTCATGGGAAAAAGTGAGCAACTGCCTCAAATCCCATTTGTTCTGGGTAGCCTGTGTCTTAGGTTAAAAATCTTATAATGTGTCCATTTCCAGAATGATCTCCTCAGCCAAGAAGGGAAAATCTTATAATTATTTAACTGCCTCCCCCACACAACCAAATTTTAGGTAGGATGGTTTTGTTTTGTTTTGTGTTTTTGAGACAGTCTTGCTGTGTCGCCCAGGCTGGAGTGCACTGGCACAAACTCAGCTCACTGCAACCTCCACCTCCTGGGTTCAAGCGATTCTCGTGCCTCAGCCTTCTGAGTAGCTGGGATTACAGGCACATGAAACTACACCAGCTAATTTTTTTATTTTTAGTAGAGACAGGGTTTCACCATGTTGGCCAAGCTGGTCTCAAACTCCTGATCTCAGGTGATCCATTCTCCTCGGCCTCCCAAAGTGCTGGGATTATAGGCATGAGCCACTGCGCCCTGCTGGGATGGTGCTGCTTGAATCACCAAAGACAAGATGAAACAGATGTGATGGGAATAACATCTATTCATCAAGCAGTTATTGAACTGCTGAAAATTGAAACTACTCTATATGTATTTTATAGAGAGATTGTAAGAAGCTAGTTCATAGGTGTCTAAAGGCATAGAATTTACCCTGCGTATAAATCACCAAGATTAATAATTTAAAAATATGTATCTTATGCAATGTGTTTCTTTGCAAAAGAGTAAACCAGGGATTACCAGATGATTAAGAAATTGTGAAAAAAACCATTACATGGTAAAAGTAGCACATTCTGCTCATCTCTTTTAGTTTCAATGGAATGACACTGTTAGATTAATACAGATATCTAAAAATTAAACTGCAGGCCCAAGATTTAAATAAAATATTTTCACTTTAAAAACTGTTATAATTGTCAAAGGATTTAATTATATCACATTAAATTCTACATCTGTGAAAAAAGTAAGTACATGAAAAATAATGATACCACCACAAGGTTAGACAGAGCAACAACTGTCACTAAAATAGAGGGTTAAGTGTAACATGTGCCATAGGAATAACTCAAAAGCCAATACATGAAGTCATATAAAATGCTTGAAGATAATACAAAGCAATGAAGACCAATAGAAGATGTGCCACCCTGGTCATATCTCTAAGTAACAGGCAATGAAACCTCCAGATAAGGATCTTCCCAATGTGCAGCTGACTCCAATGCATGGATCATAATCAGAGACACACTTCCTGGTTCAGGAGCCATTATAAAAATTTATTAGCCTCTTTTTAACAGAAGAACCTAAAACAAAATTTTCCCATAAATTTGTTTCCATAAAGAACTCAAATCATTTAGCCACAATCTTGTTGGACTTGCTACCTTGATTTTTGTTAGCCTAGATGTTGTTTTCCACAGACATAGAAAGTAATTCCGTTAAACCGTTGGTCCTATTAAAGTGGATGAACATTCCACAACAAAACATTATTCACTCAAAAAATGTGTTGACATACATTTTTCATTCAAAAGGGATCCGAACCTTGAAGGTAGCTGAAGAGAGAATTACTCATAAAAGTCCAATTCTTTATCTACGGGGCTTCTTTAGCTCAAAGTTAAAGAAAGCAGCATATATGTTTCACTGTTTTGGCTGTCTTTCAGAAAGGTACCATGGCTTCCTGGAATGAAAATAAGCCTAGAAAAATAATAATAAAACTTAGCCATCAAGAAGTTCTTTCCTACTCAAAAGATTGGTACTTGCAGGCAAAGAGGTTCAATGTGATAGAACAATATTCTGCAAACTCATAGAGTGTATCTCTGATGCAAATTAAGTAATTTTAGGACTACTTACAAATCAGATTATTTACATGTAGGCTCTAATTCCTTATTCAAAAATCAACTTAAAAACTCTTCTTGCAAAAGGATTTAAATAAAGTTCATTGAAGCTCCTCCCATGTTGCATCAGATGACTTTACATACAGCTAAGATTGCTACACGATAAATACAGAGTGTTGGCTAGGCGCAGTGGGTCACACATATAATCCCAGTACTTTGGGAGGCTGAGGTGGGTAGATCACCTGAGGTCAGGAGTTTGAGACCAGCCTGACCAACAAGGTGAAACCCCTGTCTCTACTAAAAATACAAAAATTAGCCGGGGATGGTGGCAGGTGCCTGGCCCAGCTACTCCGGAGGTTGGGACAGGAGAATTGCTTGAACCCGGGAGATGGAGGTTGCAGTGAGCTGGGACTGTGCCACTGCACTCCAACCTGGATGACAGAGCAAGACTCTGTCTCAAAAGAAAAAAAAAAAAAGGAAAAGAAAATGCGTGTTACCTCAGAATACAGTATTGAATATGTTCACTTTTAATAATACAAGGTAACTGCTTTGGCAGCCTGTGTTCCAAGTGGCTAGTCACTTGACAATAAAACATCAGTAATCTGGTAGTTTAAGAAGGTTTAAAAAGCCCAGTCTAGGCCTACTATTGTAATCTTGAATAAAATACTTCGGGTTAAAATCTGTAACATTTCCAGGATTCACAATTGCAAATGATCATTCCAAATGAGCACATCTCTTAGCATTCTCAGAATGTGACTATAAGAAAGATTTATTGTTTAAGTTCCTATCTTGATATCTCATTCAACACAGGGAAGCAATGATAGATACTCTACACATTTCCGTGTTCATTTCCAAGGGACAACCATGGTTGCCAAGTTTGAGCATTAGGAACAAGTATGAGTCCTCTAAAGTAATAGTCTACATTAAAAATGAAGGCATAGCCCTAGATGGGGCAGCTCAGTAAGATGCAGAGTACAATCCACTAACCAAAAAAATCAGAAAGTTAAGAATATGTATAAAACCCATTAGCTTTGAAACTTAAAAATGGATCCACAGACAGAAACTTTGGTTGTTTTAAAGTGACCTTCACAGATCAGTTTTGTGTTTGTTTCCATTTTCTTTCACAGTTTAAGCCTCAATCAAATCAGCAGTCTCTAGGGATTTTGAAATCGCCATAGATTAAAATCCTCTCTGACTCAACTGTTTGACTAATGCTGAGTATTTAATAATTCTACTTGAGAGAGAATTTTTGGACAAAATCCTGCTGTGTGCTTTCTTCAGATGCTCCCCAGCTGCACTTGAAAGCAGGGCATCACTGTCCTTATTTTAACACTAGACTCAGAGATGAGAAAATATATCACTACAGACAGTTCTACTATTTAGCAGGCGTGGCGGAAAACAGTTTTATCATACTAATGGAGCAACTATCACATACAAAGGCAAAGATCTCCTCCTCTGTACTAATAATACATATTCATAGCTTGTTTCCAAGGATAAGAAATGAATAACTGTGATAGACCAGAATTAAGTTAATGAATTTCTAAACTTCATGCTTTTGATAATAAAATCATTTAAGCTATAGCACTTGGACTGTCTCTACTTCCACAGATTAGGCACTTTGATACTCAACAGGTTGAGTAAATTGAATCCATATATTGTATTTACGTTCTCTGTCAAGGTTGCTTCTCCACATTTCAGTGATCAAAGGCAAAACAGTCATCAACCCTGTAGCCTTCAATACTACGTTCATTACAGTTAATCAAGTGCCAACTCCACTACATCTTTCACCAACCTAAGGAATGCTTAAAAGCATGGCATTGTTCAGCAACAAATATACGCACAGTACTGCATTAAAATGCATACACACCACAAAACAAAAAAATAAAGAAGAAAGCAAATAAATGTCATCCTCTACATTGTACGAGAAAATTAGTTTAAAAGCACAGGACTGCCCAATAAACATTTGAGAGGTGGTTTTCTACCTGAGGCAGCATCAATCACTGTGGAAACTCCCCTTCGATCAGAGACTGGACGGGATGACCCTGGCATGCTGACTGGGTCAGAGCGGACTGGCTGGATCCTGCAATGCAATTTAATTTAATTCATATATGTTACTGGCATCAAAACTGTCGCTTGCTACAAAAGACCTTAAATCAGGAATGTTGGAGTAGCACAATCCATTAAAGAACCATCCATCCTAAAACAAGACAAACAGGGAGCTGTAGTCCCTAATTGCTGCACAAGGATAAAGCACTACAAACATTCTCTATACTCCAGACCCATTCTAACTTATCTATGTGTGTTATTCCACAGATTTTTAAGGAAGGGACTGAAAAGCTAACATTAATTTAAAGGGATACAATTTGGCATTTCCAAGGGACACACATGAAGAGTTTTGAGAATCCTGAAATTCATGAATAGCACCGTAGCTATTAATGTTTTCCATAAAAGGCAGCAATATGTAATTCAAAATCCTTACTGAAAGTTACTTATATCTGACAGGAAGCATAGGATAACAAAGGTGTACTGTGGCTGGGGGAGGGGGAGCTAGCTAGGGTCACTACTAACTGAGCTACCTTTATAAAATTACCAACTAGCACATAAAAATCAATGAGAACCTCAGTAAATGTGCAAATTACTACATGCCATTTAAAGTATAATAAAGATTCATCCTGGCTAACATGGTACAATCCTGTCTCTACTAAAAATACAAAAAAATTAGTCAATCGTGGTGACACGCGCCTATAGTTCCAGCTACTTGGGAGGCTGAGCCAGGAGAATCACTTGAACCTGGGAGGCAGAGGTTGCAGTGAGCTAAGATTGGATAACTGCACTCCAGCCTGGGCAAGAGAGTGAGACTCCAATAAAAAAAAAAAAATAATAATAATAATAAACATATAAATGCTGAGTGTATCTTTCTAGCTGCATTAGAATAAATCCTATCAACATAAAAATATCTGGAAGATTAAAAAGATCTGAAAGTCCCAGGCAACTTAGAAAAACAAAAACTTATTACAACAATATATGCATGCATTTCTGGTAATTCATCCATACAGTAAGTATTTACTGAATATTAACTGCATGTCAGAATTACTATGGGAACAAGCAGAAACAAAATAAAACACCGACCAATGTCTATATCTATGACACAGCACATGAAATTCATGACAATGCAAAATAAAACTAAAGTGTAAATACGAATGACATAAATAATAAAAGCTCAGATAGGGGAATACATTAAGGGTCCACATCAGATAGAGATCTTGTAGAGATGAGAATGGGGAGAATTTCAATAGTTGGATTTCTAATTGGATGCTGGGTGAGAAATGGTGGTACTAAAAAGGACTTAAAATTGATGAGAGTTAAATCTAAATTTCCCATAAAAACTGTGCTGTAGGGTCTTAGCCAAGGTCCCAACCAAGCTTACCTGCTGAAAATTTAAAATATAAATTACAGATGCAATTAATAGAAATTTATGAACCTGTTGCTCAATATAAAGGTTTCTAAAGTTATATGCATCCAGTAAACAGGATAATATTCTAATCAAACATAAACAACTTAAAGTCATTTAGATATTTTTTAAAAATTGAGGGAGTTGTTTAGTATTATTAATAAAGGGAACGTCTCTGAGGAAAATTCTTAAGGATTCTGAAAACATAGCAATATCTACTTTTTTTTTTTTTTTTTTTTCCCTGAGACGCAGTCTTGCTCTGTCGCCAGGCTGGAATGCAGTGGCGCAATCTCGGCTCACTGCAACCTCCGCCTCCTGGGTTCAAGCGATTCTTCCGCCTCAGCCTGCCGAGTAGCTGGGACGATAGGCGCATGCCACCACACCTGGCTAATTTTTGTATTTTTAGTAGAGACGGGGTTTCATCATGGCGAGAATGGTCTTGATCTCTTGATCTGCCCGCCTCGGCCTCCCTTTTTTTTTTTTTGGTGGAGTCTCACTCTGTTGCCAGGCTGTAGTACAGTAGCACAACCTCAGCTCACTGCAACCTCTGCCTCCCAGGTTCAAGTGATTCTCTTGCCTCAGCCTCCCAGGTAGCTGGGACTACAGGTTTGCGCCATCACACCAGGCTAATTTTTTGTATTTTAGTAGAGATGGGGTTTCACCATGTTGGCCAGGATGGTCTCAGGATGGTCTTGATCTCCTGACCTTGTGAACCGCCTGCCTCAGCCTTCCAAAGTGCCAGGATTACAGGCATAAGCCACCATACCTAGCACTGTATCTACTTTTAAAAGAAGGGAGTTAGAAAGATCTTAATAGAAGAACTGTATCTGAGGAAAAGAGTAACAAAGAAAGCTGAAGGTGGCCACAAAACAATGGGGCAGAGACCTCCTAAGAAAAAGCAGAGCTTTACAGTAGCAGCTAGTCAGTCACTAGAAAAAAAGGAGACAGTCTCTTGTGCATGGTTTTGCAAAGAAACTAAATGTGTTACCCAGTTGTAAAGAGAATAAATTGGTTAGTTATTTTAAATGCTTTATTATTAACCTTTAAATAACCAAATGACTATTGTAAACACAAGTACACTGAATCACTAAGCTGAGGACTGAAAAGAATTGACTACCTGACCATGGCTTGAGGTCCTAATCTAGACCATATTTTATCATTAGTACCACTGAAAATTGGTCTTACACTGTCACTGTATTCTGTCATTATTACCTGACATCTTGGTCAAAAAATGTCATCTTTAGAAAGCTGGAGGGATTATGCTGGAACAAAAAACCAAAAATGTAGAGAAGAAAGAAATAAAACACAAAGCAGACTAAACAAATGAAAAATACTAAACAAGGTATTGAAAGGAGATGCATTCATCTTTATGAATCCTTCTTTCAGAAGATATATCAGTCAGGGGAAAGCAAAAATTCAAAAAGGGACACCAGTTAGGAGTCTGTGAAACATTGCTAGGGTGCTGGCATTGGGAATGGAGAGGAGTGGAAGGTTTCTAGATGTCAATTTTGAATAGAAATGACATGTTAGTAAAGAATTAGATGTGGCATGTGTGAAAGGAGAGATTTCAAGAGTCATTTAAAGAGATGAGGCCGGGCATCATGGTTCATGCCTGTAATCCCAGCACTTTGGGAGGCAGAGGCAGGCAGATCACCTGAGGTCATGAGTTCAAGACCAGCCTGGCCAACATAGTGAAACTCCATCTCTGCTAAAAATATAAAAGTTAGCCTGGCATGGTGGTGTGTGCCTGTAATCCCAGTTACTTGGGAGGCTGAGGTAGGATAATTGGTTAAACCCGGGAGGCAGATGTTGCAATGAACTGAGATTGCAACATGGCACTCCACCCTGGGGTGACAAAGTGAGACTCAGTCTCAAAAAAATTAAAATACTCATGCCTGTAATCCCAGCACTTTGGGATGCTGAGGCGGGAGGATCACTTGAGGTCAAGAATTCAAGACCAGCCTGGCCAACATGCTGAAACCCCATCTCTACTAAAAATACAAAAAATTAGCTGGGCATGGTGGCATGTGCCTGTAGTCCCAGCTCCTTGGGAGAGTGAGGCAGGAGAACTGCTTGCACCTGGGAGGCAGAGGTTGCAGTGAGCAGAGATCACACCACTGCACTCCAGCCTGGGTGACAGAGTGAGACCCCGTTTCAAAAAATAAAATAAAATAGAATAAAAAATAAATAAAGAGATGAGAAATAATGGGGTGTGAACAGGATTAGGGAATGAGATGATGAGTTGCAATTGAGACCAAAGTAGGCAACTGGCCGTACTCTAGGAATATCTCCTAGCACTTAGTAGAGTCCCTGATAGGTACTCAATAAATATGTGTCATATTTTCTAAACAGATATATCAGGCATAATCCAACTTTGCAATTTTTGTTTTGTAATAAAAATTTATTATTGCTACTGACAAAAAGAAGACAAAAACATATTTCCACAATTTTTTTAAAGGTGTGCAAGAAAGAGGTCAGAGGGTGTTTTACATTCAAGATACACTAAAGAACATTTTTTAAAGAGAAGACAAGAAAAGGGAGAATATATTATATTAGACTGAGTCCTTCATTATGTGTTGTACCCTAATGTGTCAAGTCTTGATATAACAAATTAAACTGCTAAGCAAACTTAAGACTGCAAGTCAAAACTGAGTTGCAATAAAAAAAAACCTAAAAATAAAAAGCATAATTTGTACACCTGTACTAGGATTCCTACAAGTAAGGATGAGAGAACATGTATTATAAAAATAATATATGTATATAACTGGATTTATACCAACATTTTTCCATTCAAAAACGTTTCATAATTGAAAAGAAGGAAGATACAGGATTAGATAAAAATCACAGATGAAATTTAATTGAAAGGTGATGCCAGCTTCAGAAAGATCAGGAAAAGCGTACATAATCAGACTTCAGGCAGCTGGAGCAAAGCATCAAAAAGTGGAATTGCTTGAAAAGTGCCATATTAGATTTAGGGAAAATATAATCTGAAAAACAAATATTTATTTCATGTAATGTAATCCCATATGACATCCTATATACCATCCCAAGTCATGACAGTGAATCACATGCAACAGTACACGTGGACTGCAAAATGATACTGTGTCAAAAGGGGAAAAGTAAATATTATGTATGATGTTCATTTCACATGAACATATTAATCCTTTCATTCAAATCACTCTCTAGTTCCCATTTCCTACCTGAGACTGTTAAGATCAAGATCATCTGTATCAAAATCCAAAAGAGGCTGTGGCGTGTCACTTGGACCATGAGACTGCAACACAGATGAACTGGAGGAGATGACTGTGGTTTGGCCTGAGGGGTGGATGGTTTTGAACTGGAACTGTGGACCCATCCACAGACGTCTGTGGGGTCCAGTGTGTGTTACAATTTCAACCTGGAACAGAGTAGCAATGATGACTTAAATGGATTATGATCTCAATTTGAGAGCCTTTCACAATCCCCCATTCTTCCTCTCAATACCCACATTCTTCAAGAGCCCCAAGTTAAAGTGGGAAAGGGATAGGGCACCCATAATTAAAAGGTAATAATAATCACAGACGATGCAGACACTTAAAATGTCCCTCTACTGGTTTTCAGCAACATAAACAAAAAAATACATTTTGTGTACATATACATACACAGACACACATGCACACCTCACACCATATACAACACAAAAATCATATGAAAGTAAAAGAACCAGTTGCCTGTCTCATATAACTAGTGTCAGCTCCCTAGGGTATATCTTTTCATTCACTCTAGATAGTACTTACCATGTTGTAGGCATGCACTGAATACTATATCTATTAATCCACAGATTAAAAGTAATTCCTTCACTGAGGTTCAAGCTCACGACAAACGTGAACCTGTTCTTGAACTACCTAAGGAAAAGTAAAGGTCTGAAATAATTTTAATGCCCAAAGCCACTTTCTTTCCATAATAAAATATTATAATATTTACTGTACTGTCCTAATATTCCCTCAATCCACTTTTAAACGAAAAAAATTATTATATATTTTCTCTCAAACTAGATATTTGTCTTCCAAATATCCATTAATTAGTGTGTGTTCTCAACTGCCACAGATATTGACACAGGCATTTTATGTGCTACAAAACAGAAATACCAAAATACTTTATGAATTTCACACTCAATGGAGGGGTTAGGGAATGTTCCCAATATTTTATTAGATATTATAAAGTCAAAGAAGTGGGTGGAAGGCACTGGGAAAAGCCTGAAAATATACGTATTACATGATTTTTTACAAACAAGCAACTCGAATGAGAGATTAAATATACAAACTAGTTTAAATATCTTGTCATTGCTACATCCATGCCTCTGCAAATACTTTATGTAATTGCATCTGCAAATACTTTATGAAATTGACTTCCCATGTGCCTTATTTTTGTCCTGAGTTCTTTTATATTTAATCACATTTCTCTGATTGTGGTGATTAATTCTTAACAAAACATAACTGAAAAGGTTCACAGAGTGTACCTCTGTGTTTCTGAGTCCAAAAGGGCAAAATCATCATGGTCTTTGGAACAATATTCACATTCCCACTAATCACAGGGAGAAAAATGCTCAGATTGAGGATAGTGATTTCTGATTCAAGTAGTTGTATTCAGCAATGTAAATTAGGCCACAGATAAAGCATTCTGTGTATTTTAAGCTCAAAACCATCAGTGTCACAGAGCCGAGAGGTAAACAGATGCCTGTGCAATTTCACAGAGGCGATGGCCAGATGTTCCTATTCACTCTCCTGTTGTGTGCCGGACAAACATATTGTATATACTTTCACACTGACAGCACACATTACCCCTTTCTCTAATTGAAAAGTTGAAGTGAAGGACAGTGGTTTCTCTACCAGCATTCCTTGGACAAAATTTTGATTTTGGAAAAAACACATGCATTTTGGGTTTACTTTATCTTCCTATCATTAAGGAAGGATGGATCGTCACATGCCATGAACTGAAGAATTGACCTCCTTCAAGGAACTTCCTATGAATACTTTTGGTGTGATGAAATAAATACATGTTACCTAGACACTATTTGATTTCCCAGTTTCCAGACTTACTTTAGGTTTTAGGCTACCCTCCTTGAGAAAGAAAAGAAACTACGAATGGCCTCCACATTTTCTGAGGCACCTGTCCAATGAAAAGCTGCCAGATTTGTAACCTGAGATAGATCATTAGCTTCACAAAATGATGTCAGACTTGAGGCAGACATAACAGCATTTATAATGAAGTCATTTGTAATCCCATCATTTTGAAATCTGCCCAAGTATCTTTTATTTCAAAGTCCTTTGAGATGAAGACAGCTTCACCTGGCAAGGGGAAGAATGGTCAATTGAAGCTGTTGGAGACTAGGCATGGTGGCTCATGCCTGTAATCCCAGCACTTTCAGAGGCCAACGTAAGAGGATCACTTGAGCCTAGGAGTTCAAGATCAGCCTAAGCAACGTAAGGAGATCCTGTCTTTAGATTAAAAAAAAAAAAAAAAAAATCAGCTAGCATGGTGATGCATGCCTGCAGTCCCAGCAATGTTGTAGGGCTGGTTTAGAGACCACTAGAAGCAGCATTACATGGGCTTAGGAAAGGAAACCCAGGCATGTACCATCAGAACTTCTAGAGTGGAATCTTGTATTTACAATAATGGAAGTATGAATTCAACCTTCAGAAAATGTTGGCTCCACAAAACAGATCCCAAAGTTTGTTGAGTAGCTTCACTGTTTCAACAAGGTCAGCTTTTATTTTAAACCTGATGAAAATGTGTTCCAAGAGCCTATTTAAATTCCAAGCTCTTGGCTGGGCACGGTGGCTTACACCAGTAATGCCAGCACTTTAGGAGGCCAAGGTGGGTGGATCACTTGAAGTCAGGAGTTCAAGACCAGCCTGGCCAACATGGCGAACCTCCATCTCTACTAAAAATACAAAAATTAGCCAGGCATGGTGGTGCATGCCTGCAATCCAAGCTACTCAAGAAGCTGAGGCATAAGAATCGCTTGAACCTGGGAGGCGGAGGTTGCAGTGAGCCAAGATCATGTCACTGTACTCCAGCCTGGGTGACAGAGCAAGACTCTGTCTCAAAAATTAGTTAATTAGTTAATTAATTAATTCCAAGGCCCTAAGGCTTTAAATAGATTGTGTGAAAAATATACAAATTTTATGCCATGTGTATGGAAGCTAACATACACACACACACACACATATGTAAAATATGTATATGTACACCGGCAGCAATATTTGTGAGTAATCTGTAATATGGAAAGACAACTAATTCTTGATAACCCAACAAAGAGTTACTAATTCTCCCCACTTTTCTCTAAGGAAAAGAATAAAAACAGACAGTAAATTTCTGTTTTCTGTTACTTTAATACTCCCAATATTTCAGAGTTTTACCTGGGAAAGCCATTCTTCATCTTCCTGTCCACTATGGTCAGAAGCTAAACTGTCATAAGACCCATGTCGAGTAATGGGCCCAGGACTTCCAGGGGGAACCACTATAGGAAAAAGAAAATAGATTTAAAGCACTTTGTTCCATGCAGTGGAAAAACAGACGTGGGCACAACCATTTTGGATACTGTGGTAATTTATAAGATAAAATATAATACCTTAAAGCACAGAGGCAATTGAAATAATTATTGAACAAGTAAGAATAAAGTTCTTAGGGAAAAGATACTTTAAAAAATATTTACAGGAATTTCGTAATGACGTATTCTTCCAATAAAAGAAATAAACAACTAAGTACATGCCAATAGCAAAAGTACACTGAAGAGCAGTGACAAATCTATTTATTGGGGGAATGACATTAGGATTCTTTAAGAGAGTTTACTTAGCAGCTTCGTATAAATGCTAGGCATAAAAATGCACATTTAATTGAAAAACACACTTTCGGTTCCTGAAAAAATTCATTTATCCAGAGAAATGCATCATTTTTCTTAGATACCTGAGTAGTTTTCATGATTCTTAAGTGGTATGACACAATCAAATTATAAACAGCCTACTTTTTAATTCAAATAGGAACATTTGCTTAGTAAAACAATAAAATAATTCAAAAACATTTACTGAGTTCCTAATATGAACCAGACATTATCTCCTCAAAGTCTCAGTCTCTTCTTTGGAAGCTACCACTCAGTCTGTCTGTCTCCATATCTCTAAAAATATTTATTTATTTATTTAATTTATTTATTTATTTTTACAGCAGTTTTAGGTTCACAGCAAAGTAGAGCTAAAGATATAGATATTTCCCATATAACCCCCAAACTCATACATATTCATTTAACCTTTTTTTTTTTTTAAGAGATAGGATCTCGCTGTATCACCCAGGCTGGAGTGCCGTGGCATGATCATAGCTCACTGTAACCTCAAACTTCTGGGCTCAAACCATCTTCTCACCTCAGTGTAATAAGTAGCTGAGACTACAGGCATGAGCCAACATGTCTGCCCAATATTATCTTTTTTGTAGAGACAGGATCTCACAATGTTGACCAGGTTGGTCTTGAACTCCTGGCCTCAAGTGATCCTCTGGCTTTGGCTCTCAGAGTGCTGGGATTATAGGCATAAAACACCACACCTGGCCTACCATTTTAATACTCAGAGAAATCAAGCAATGAAGTACTGGGAGGAACACAGGAAAAAGAGGGGAGGTAAGCAGGAAGAGAAGTAAGAAAGTAAAAGATGATCATTAAAGAAGTATGGAAGAAATAGAAAAGAATGAGAAGCAGAAAATAACCTGGTAATTTCCACCACCCAGAGACATTTATATATACACATCAACATACAAAAATTTCCTTGAGCTAGATTCCTACATATGTAAACAGAGGATGTGAATGTATAAATTTCTTAATATATATTCCCAGAAAGAGTTATATACTTACCCAACCAGTGAAGAGAATGCCAGTCTCACTGAGCTTTTGCTAGAACATGGTAGTATTTTGAAAAACTATACCTTAGTGAAATAGACACAAATAAAATAGACAAAGCATAATCTAGGGCAAGATTTAAAAGACACAGACTCACAAAAAGCTTATCTTAACTTGCTGCAAGAGGAGAAATGCTAATTCAGGGAATTACCCAACAGAGGCATACATAATATTGAAGTGTAAGATCTGCTGCGGTTAAAACTTTTAGCTGCTAGTTCTCCAAAATCATAGTTCTACAGCCAAGAAGCATGGTGGCATTTGCACAAAACACAAATGATCACAAAAGCATACACCTACATTCTTGTGATGACAGTAGTATCAAGAATAAAAGAATACTACAATAACTTATCTATTATTTCAGCATTCTTTCGGAAATAATTGATATATATTGAAAGGCTGATAAGTAAACTGATGTTTTCAAAAGGCTAAATTATTTTCACACCAATAAATTCTATATTAATTCTTAATACAGAGGAGAATAAGAGGATCCTGGAAATTTCCACCCCTTAAATACCAGTGAAAAATGTGAATATGGACAAATATGTAGAGGCTGGAAAGCAGATGAGGGCAGAGAAGATTTTTAAAGAGGTAAGGTAATATGTTCTGCAAATATCTGAAGGAAAGGTGTTACAAACAGAATGTTAAGTACAAAGATTTTGAGGTGTAAACATGAAGGAAATCACTAACAGCCAGGAGGCCACTGTGGTTGGGTGGGGTAAGCCATGTTGTGAGTGGAAGATGAGTCGGCAAGGCAAAGGGGGCAGGACCAGCAGATTATTGTGGGCTTTTCCTTTCTTTCTTTTTTTCTTTTCTTTCTTTCTTTCTTTTCTTTCTTTCTTTTTTTTTTTGGGGGGGGGGGGGTAATAAAGCTGGAGTAATACAATGGAAAGCAATTGAAAAGTTATAAGTACAAGTGAGAAACCACGCCTTACGTAACTAGCTAGTACCTAATATGAATTTCTCCAAGAGTTTATGTTGTGTTTTACATATGCTGAGTCTATGAGTCTAGACTAGTACATGTCATAGAATAAGTACTCAAGTATTTACTGGGTGGTTGGAATTTGGGATTCTATACTAAGTAAGTAATGGCACCAGAATGGCTGGACACTTAATTATCCTTCATCAGAAAAGGGAAAATATGTCTGGGATTAGCTTCAAAATAACCCAGTGGCAGGGATGGAGGTGGGAAGAAGGATTACAGATGAAAAGAAGATTGGTCATTAGTTGATCATTGCCATAGCCAGCTGATAGCCACATGGAGGTTCATTATACTATTATTTTCTAGTTTTGTGTATGTTTGGAATTTTCCAGTAAGAAGGGGGAAGTATCCTCTCTGCCCTCATTAACTTTCTGAAGGAAGTAATAAAGATTCCAAATATATATATAGAAATAGTACCATAAACATGCATCCCAAAATTCTAAAGAGATTGTAAAAATTTCCACCTCCTTTTTTCACTAAAAATAGTTTTCTAATTAAGTATGTTTGAAAGCCATCAGAAGATGGGCAATATAAAAAATAAGTATGGTGGGATAATATTTTTCACCATCAAATAAATATCCTTCCTTATCTCCACCATTTTTTCCATGTTTGATACATTTTTCTTATTAAATTGGGTAATAGGCAGAAACATCAAAACAGGAAAAGCATATAACTAAAAAAACTAAAATCCAAGTAATTTTGAAAAGTCTGAAAGAAGAATGCAATAAGGGAATATATTTTTTCACAATAAACTAATGATTAACCGGCACTGTGGTATTAAACATACAACTAGATATATTACTGTTCAAAACTGGTAATGTAATATATTAAAATCTGTTGTTCTTCCTATCATATTCAGTATTGGATGCTTTTTTTTTTTGAGATGGTGTCTCACTTGCCAGCTGGAGTGCAGTAGCGCAATCTTAGTTCACTGCAACCTCTGCCTCCTGGGTTCAAGCAATTCTCCTGCCTCAGCTTCCCAAGTAGCTGGGATTACAGGTACATGCCATCATGCCCAACTAATTTTAGTATTTGTAGTAGAGACAGTGTTTCACCATTTTGCCCAGGATGGTCTCAATCTCCTGACCACATTATCTGCCCACCTCAGCCTCCCAAAGTGCCGGGATTACAGGCATGAACCACTGTGCCCGGCCCAGTATTGGATTATTTACACAGTTTTAGGAACTACAATATGCAGTATGGAATACCTTACAACAGTCCCAACAGTATAGCAAGCCAGGGCCTTGTTCCTCCAAATGTGGTCCTCAGACCACCAACATTGGCATTCCTGGCAGAGCTTGTTAGAAATAAGCAACTTCAGGTTCCACCTACCCATGCCTACTGAATTACAATCTGCATTTCAACAAGATCCCTAGGTGATTTCATTACACATTAAAATTTGAGAGCTGTGATATACAGGGGTAGACTCACTGCCATTCCTCTAAAATAATCAGTAGCAAAAGTTTGGAGAATCTATATTATCCTTTAGAAGGAAAATAATACGACAAACTGGTTTTCATTTGAGAGCTTAGGAGGAAATAATTAGCTACTTAAAACTGTTTCTAAAATCTAGACAAGAAAATTCTGAAATAAGCATAGTTATTCTGAGATTAAGTTAACTATAAATTATTAGAAATTTAAAATAGAAAAGTTCTATCATTTTCATAGGCTTTACTTTTTTGTCCACTTCTTATCCTTCCAAACTCTTCACTGTAACCTCAAATTTCAGTATAGATGGCCATTATAGCAGAAAAGCCAAGCTCTGTTTGCCATGGCTGATGTTGGGGATATGTCAAGCCAGTACTCACATGAGTTAAAGTGACAGATCTAAAACATTCAGCTTAGCAGTATTCAATACTTTTCTTAGTTTTTGTTGTTGTTGTTATTTTAGCCAAGGGTGGTTAAGTGTTTGGAAATGAAAGCTTTATCCTTAGGTGGTTTTTGCTTTACAGATATCAACTGCCAGAGTTTCTTTCACACAAAGAAATCAGGAAGTCTCTTGATTTTGGTCAGTCTACATACACTATTGAAAAGCTTTGTGAGAGTAATTCTTTTTAATGTTACCAGGCTGTCTGTGTAAATATAGAAAGTCAGCCTAGGAGACAGGATAAATTATCTGTGGGAAGGGCCCATAATCAATAGCCAGTATTCTAGTTTAAAATTCATTCTTGGCCAGTCACGGCAACTCACGCCTGTAATCCCGGCACTTTGGAAGGCCAAGGCATGTGGATCATGAGGTCAGGAGTTTGAGACATGCCTAGCAAACATGGCAAAACCCCATCTCTACTAAATATACAAAAATTAGCCAGGCATGATGGCATTCATCCATAATCCCAGCTACTGGGGAGTCTGAGGCAGGAGAATTGCTTAAACCTGGGAGGCAGAGGTTGCAGAGAGCCAAGATCATGCCTCTGCACTAAAGCATTGGCCACAGAGCAAGACTCCATCACAAAAAAAAAAAAAAAAAAAAAAAAAGTTTGTTCTCAAAAGCACGTTGGGCACAAAAAGGAAAAAATAAACTAAGTGTTTGCGCTTTTTATATAGCATACATTTTCTTAGTTTGTACTAACACTTTCTCATATTACAAAGACAATTTCAT